TCCCAAGACAGTAAGTTTCTCACCTGAGCACAGAAAACTAGATGGCTCAGGTTTCTAAGGCCTAAACCTCTAGTTTTCAAGATTTGGAACTATAAGCCCCCTGAGTCCTTTGGCTCAGCCCATAAGCCTTGAACACTCAAGGTCTCAGGCCTATAATAATAGACTCAGTACTTTAAAATGCTCTTACTCTTAACAAGTAAACCAGAGGTCAGGGAGGCGCAAGGAAAATGGAGATGGAGGCACTCGGGCACTGCTGAGAGTAACAACTGACACAGCCCTTCTGAAGGGCAAATGGGCAATATATCTCAGGAGTTTAAAGTAAGAGGTAATTCCATTTCTTCAAATTTCTGCCAAGTAATTTATTAAGAATGAAGGCAGAGACTTGGCTATAAGAATGTTCCTTTTAGTATTGTTTATAACCATAACACTGGGACCAACATAAATATCCAACAAAAGGATAGCAATCAAGTTTAATCAAAAATCACATTCATATAAAAGCATTATGCTGACTCATTATTAAATGTTATAGAATGGTAAGAAATTGGAAAAATGTTCATAATATATAAAGACAATTTATAAAACAGTATGCTAGTAAGATACCTAATGTTTTAAAGTTCTATTTGCATAAAAAGGTGATCAGTAAATCAAATGTTAAATGTAGTTATCTTCTAGGTAAAGGATTATAGGTGATTTTACTATCATTTATTTGTAGCTAACATTTCCTGTAATAAACTTATATTATTTGTAACCTAACATAGGTTAATAAGCTGGTTATACTAACACTTTAAAAATGATTATTATATTTAAAAGTAATTACAAATCAAAATCAATTCATTATCAGTCAACAGACATAAGAATTATATCTGAATTCTGATGCTGGGGAAAACAGCTGAGGGAAAAATATAGCAAGGGCTGCTGACAATCCCACCTGCTTCAAAGTATGGCCCACTTCAGTCAGTGTGGCATATCCATCACTATGGCAAACATCCAGTATGTGCTTGATGCATGAATAATCCTGTTTACATTCAGCAAAGCATTGCAAAGAAGCATTGTGTTGAAACTTAAAAAGAAAACAACAATAAAAAGCCTGCTTCATTATCAGATATTTAGAAATTGCCCAAGTTCAATAAAAACAAGGGTATCTATATATGAATAAAGAGATCATGAAAATTCATATGGTATTCATTTACATTGCACTTCACTGTCTACAGCTACTTTATAGAGATGGGTAAAATTCCCATCCCACCCTCCCAAAAGAAAAAGAAATAAAGGGAGGAGAGATGCTCATGCAGTACGGTGATCTTATCTGGGGCAGCAAGACTTTCCTCTTATGGTCTGCACCAGCTATCAGTACTTTACTATACTTGACAACATCTCTAAAGCAAACAAACAAAATGGACTATTGTACATAACTTATCCCTAGTAAAGCTTTGTCTTAAAGATTTATTTTCTTTTTAATTATCTGTATGTGTGTTGGGGGGGGGTGCACATGTATGCAGGTGACCAGAGTTCAGAAAAGGGAATTGGATCCCAGAGTCGCAGTCACAGGCGACTGTGAGTTACCTGATATGGGTGCTGGGAATCAAACTCTGGTCCTCTGCAACAGCCGGAAGTGCTCTCAACTACAGAGTCATTTCTCCAGCACCTAACTGCTAGGGATTAACATTTTAAATTTCAATTACCTTATTGCATCAGTATTTAGAATTCTGTATTTAGTATTTAGCGAAGAATTCCGTCCTGAAGGGGAGTAGTGAAAACATGTGGACTATGAAAAAACACTTGGTTTGAACCCAGTCTGCCCTTTGCAACTCTGCAAACTGTAAAAGAATTTTGCTGTGAGAACCCAAGGGAGTCTGACACCATAATGGATGCAGAACAATACCCAATTTTCATTCTTTTTCACTTTCCTTAAGAAACTATATTTCTTTTTGAAATTGAGAACAAGTTACTATGTAACATGGGTTAATTGCATAGTTATGAGGATATAGGGTGGGTCTTTCCATTGTACAGCAGGTATCAGGATATAAGACGAAACAGATAAGGACTCCAAATGCAGATATCCCCAGTCTAGGTTTACCCTGCAGTATACAAGCAACCTCTGAGTTCCTACCTAGTTAGGAAGAACATGCAGAAACCATCAGAAAAGCAGTTAACAAAGCATGCTCTTGATGACATCCTCCCTCTGTCCCTATCCGCCACCCTCACTGCTCTAACAAGCACCTTTCCTGGAAACAGGAACCCTATGAATATCTGTTGATCTGTATCAAAATTTAACTTGCACTACCAATTTCAAAAAGTACCCATGAGGTACAACTGCCTTGTTTCAGTATTTTCTCTGAATGTGCACATTCTGTCAGGTAAAGAAACCCTCGAGATTTCATCTCAGAACCACTTAAGGGCATATTCAAAAGATCTGAGGATCGAACAAAGCCACCTATCCATAACACATCCTGCTCACAAAAGTGTCCCAGAAACGCAAGATAAACAAAATCCCTCTGTTCATTTCTAGAAGATAATACTACTTCTGTATCCTACAGTATGCCTTATATACCCGCACCAACTGTGTCTTCTTCCTCTACTGAAATAGAATGTCTGTTGCTAACAAAACACTGACATCCAAGTTGTTTCCACAGACAGAAAAAGCAGCTAGGGAAGCTGACCCGTGTGCTGACCAGCCAGCAGCTTCTGGGAGACACCCAGTTAAGTCTTTATTGTAAGACTGCCTGAGTCACAACTCTCCGTCCTCTGGCTATTAGTATTTCACAACTGCTTCTTGGCACCACCTGCTGAAAAATTCCTTAAAAGATACAAAAGTAGAAAACACACATTCAAATTAAAGAAGGCTAGATGGATTTGAAAAGGAAAAGGCTATTTTGAGGTTGAGCTTATGAGATTAAAAAAAGCTAACAGATAATACTGTTAGGTAGTTTTCTTGAAATGAACACAATGCTCATAACTCTTAAAGAGAGTCCGTGGTCGTTTATATGTTATAGACGAAGAATTGGAGACTAATGGCAAACTATTATGCCACATAACATAAGCAGTATGACCAGAGAACTGGCTCTTCTTAGTAACTCACAACCTAAATCCCAAGGCCTTCCTTGCCAATTACAGCATGTAACTATTTCCTCTATTGACTGAGGTATCATCTCTGCTGCCATTTTAATTTGAACATTCTATAAGAGGAAACAGTACCTAAATCTCACGCTATGGGTGTACTACTGTCTTGTGTCGGCAGGAATATCCAGCTTAGTTCATTACTATTTGAGGCAAGGAACTTGTTCTATAGCAATACATAAGAAAAGGAAGCTTGGGCTGGTAGCAGGAGTCACAAGCATTAGCACTGGGTATCCACTGTAATCTGTAAAAACAAAGTCTCTTTATTAGAAAGATTACTTAATACCTCCAATGAAATTCAACATACTTTTAATATTGAACTTATTCTTAGAGTTATTCCAATAAGATACATCAGCAGAAAAACAAAACAAAACAAAACAAACAAACAAACCCAGCTAATTCTTTACTGCCTTTGGGGAAACTGCATATGGTAGCCTAGGGGTTGCACAAATAAGTTGTCTGAAGTGAGAACAACCTGGTTCCAACCTTAGCTTGCTGGCATGAACCCCCACCTCTTGATTCCTCAGCATGATCTACATTAAAAACACTTAGTATTTTACCATGCATGGACTATTTTAGTATGAAATACTCATAAACTTTAAAATAGTGTTTTCATAATGGAATATTTGATCCAGTTTTTATAATACTATTCGATTTTCTCCCTCCTAGGGGATGGGTGATGAAGAGACTGCTTGGTGACTTGCTCTGTACACACAGCTAGAAAATATACTGTACCCTGCAGCTCACCTTTCTGGATTCCCAAGTCACTTGCTCTTCCATCTAACCTTTGCTAATGTCCATTCAAATACTACATGCCTTCCTTCTAGTAAGCTGTGCTATGTCTCACAAGCTCAGGTGGAGAACGCTTTAAATGTATACATATTTTAATAATGTCTTTAAAATATATCATAGTAATAGTTCTGGAGATGATTACTGGATACATCCAAATGGGTTTCAAATGAGCAAGAAGGTGAGTCCAGCTCAGAACTGCACAGTTGCTCTATAAGCCTTTTCTGCACTTTCTATTCAATAATAAAAAAGAATGGCCTCTTGTACCCTTGTTTTCCCTGCTACATTATTAATAACATTTGTTTTTCTTTCCTATACCGGAGTATGTTGCAATTACATTATAATATAACAAAGAGAGTAGGTTGGCTTATTATTTTTCTATACAGGGATTATGATTGAATGTTAAAATTTCTATTGCAATTGTATTCAATACACTGGCTAATTCTTCAAGTATTTTACTTAATTAAAAAATGCTACTCTGTAGATCTTTCCTTAACTTGTTCTTCAAGTGTTAAACATTCCACAAGACCACTGGGTGGGTAACTGTGACCAGCTACACCAACTGGTGGACGAGGGTGGGGCAGCTGACAACTGTCTCTTTCCTCAATTAGGCAAACACTGAGATCTGCTTATAAATAAGCCACGAACAAGGCAGTGGGCAGCGGTACAAAGGAGATTCGGCCCCCGGACCCACAGAGCAGCGGCCGTGCTGAAGACTCGGTGGAAGAAAAAGGACACCAACTCGGGCGCCAGCGGGGAGGCCCCACGCGAGGCTGAGCCACGGTCCTCAACGCCAGCCGAGGAGAGATCCACCTCGGAGCACGCTGCGGGCTGCGGGAAGAAAAGGGCCTAGTGTCCGCAGAGGGCGGCAGGGACCACGGTGGCGCTCGTGGTTTCCTCCCCGCGGTCCCCGCCCGGAGCCAAGTGCTGGGCAGAGATCGGCCTGGGTCACGGGCGCGGTCCCTGCAACCCGGGGCCCTCGGGTCTGGTCGGCTCGGCTCGGCTCGGGTGGGTTCCAGGCCCGGCCTCGCCCTCCGCCGCCCGGCTCCCCGCGCGCCCCGCCCACCCATCCACCCCGGCGGGCCCCCACTTACTTTCTGCGAGTCCATGGCGAGGGACTAAGCCCTCCGGGCCGAGCCTGTCACCGGAACCGAGTGAGGAGCCTGAGGAACCTTCAAGACCCGCTACCTCAGCCGCCGCCTGCCCCGTCCTGTTCGGTCCCGTCCCGCAGACGTCCCGTCCGTCCGCGCCCAGCCCGCGCGCGCGCCGCTGCCGAGCCGCGGTTGCCAGGGTGAAAGGGCGGCTCGCGGGAGGGCGGGGAGGGCGGGGTGCGAGCTCAACACGCATGCGCAAGCGTGCGCTGGGCACCCGCACCAGTGAAGGGTAGGACGCTTGCCAATCTTCCTGTTCTTCCTTCTCAGCTGCCTCTTTCCTGGCATCCCTATTCCTGTACCATCGCTGCGGTCTTTGCAAAGAGCCATTGGGAATCTAGCAGCCATGCCTGTGCGGAGGGTCCAGGAGCTAGTTCTGCCCAGAATGCTACAGGCACCTACAGCATCTCTCCACTTAGTCTGGGAGGGGCAGTCCCTATAGGTGAGGCCAACTATCCAGTGGAAGGAAATACGGTGGAGTGGAGAAGCAGCGGAAATGTACGGACAGGTCTTGAGCAGGCATGGTGGAAACCTGAAAGGGCCCCAGGTCAAGGGACGGGAGGAAGTTACCGAAACACGGGTATGGGGCTATATGGGCTTTGTGGCCTGGCTGCACTTGCTCCACTCACACTAAATGAGCCAGTCTTTCTCTGTGATCCTGTGTCATCTGTGGAATTATAATAAATAATGATAATAAAGGGATGCAGACCTTGCCAAGGACTGTGCAGATTAAATACTTTGTCTGTACTTCCCAGAACACAGCTCCGGAGTAAATGGCAGTGGGGCAACAAATTAGAATCAGCTTAGGATGGCCAGAGCAGCCAATGAAGATTCTAGAAAGCTTGGGATGAAGACAGGAGGCTTGGAAAGGTTCTCCAGAGAGGCAAGCTTCATCTCCATTTAAGTGACTCTAGAAAAAAAATTCATCTGGGTGTTCACATGCTAAAGGAATAAAGGAGAAACGAATATCGAGTATTAGGTAGCAGTTTTGTGGTTCTACACAAATCGTCAGTGAAAAGGCCTGGTCCTCAGAGAGCTCATGAGGCTGTTAGAAAGGAAAGTTTGTAAGAGAACCAGGGAGAGAGAGGGAGATGAGTTTGTGAACAAAGCTCTTGTATGGCAAGAGTGAGGACTAGAGTTAATATACCCACTTAAGAGTACCCACATAAAAGCCAAGCGACCACAGACACACACCTACACACCGGTGTCCCTGCTCGTGTGCCCTCACATTGGAATACACTGACACACAGTCCACACATGCACACACACACACACACACACACACACAATAACAAAGGAGGAAATTTCACGAGGAAAATGGAAGAAGCAAAGTTAAATTGCATGGAGTTTTAATTAATGGACTCAGAATAAGTAGGGTTCAACTCAGCAATGGCCTGAGTAAGAGTTATGAAAGGGTCTGCAGAAGAATATCTAGTCAGAAGAACAGTAAGTTGCAAGGCCTTGAAGAGGCATGAGCTGCTTTTGAGAAATGTTTTAATTATATCTCTACCAGAGTGTTTCCAACTATATTGTGGTTTCTTAAGACCAAAACTTCTTTTTTTTATCATACCTGTATCCCCATCCCAGCACGGGGCAGACAACACTCAAAAGACTCTTTCTTAACTGAACAGAAATATATGAGAAGGAAAATACAAAAAGATACAAAGGGAAACAATGGTTTCATTCAAACTAGGTAGGCACTGCTTGGAAACTTGGAGGCTGAGGAGAGCATATGAGCAACTTTACTCCTGCCAGCTGAAAGAAGAGATGGCCTGTAGTCCTTCAGAGAAGACCCCTCTTGGTACCAAGGGAAGGTACCACAGGCCCTGTCCCCAATTACATGAGGAGTAGTGACAGAAGCCAGCTATATACCCATTAACCCAGTGCTGGTGGCTCTAAGGGCAGGTCTGAACACAAAACTGAGTCATTTTCTAGGGGTGAGAAATGTAGCCTGCAAATGGTAGAACATCAGAGGTCAAACCACTGCCCTTGGCTGACACCATGGATCCATCACGAAGGGAACATTTGTTTGGTCTCATCTCCAAAGCTTCACCTCACTCCTACCACCATAGGGGAGCCCCTAAGCACTTTTTGAGTGACAGGCTCCAGCAAAGGAGGACTAAAGAGGGATTTGGAGACAAGAGTCACCCTGAAATGTGATCACCAGACTGTCACACCCTAGGAGCTCATTTCTGGATTCTTGCCCCATTTCTGTAGCTCTTTCCCTTCAGGCTAGCCAAGCAGCCTGTGGGTTTTGACAACAGCTGTACCCTATCTGACCCTCAGCCATCTCTGACCTTGCCTGGCTTGCCTGGCTTCCCACCACAGCTCATCCAGGACCTTTTGCTGACTCATTCTCAGTGACCAGTTCCTTAGGGCTGTGATTTGTCTACCCCCACTCCACACAGTTCTCTTACTACAGTTCCCTTACCAAGCTGGGACAGTAAGTCTACAAACCCAGCCACTCACCCTGGCACTGCACTACAGGCCTGTGGTGTAATTAACTTTGCATAGCAAATCCAGTTAGGGACTGTTTTAAAGTAGCTTTATTTGAAAGCAGTTGTTCTTAAAATTTGACCCCAGGACTAATTGTGTCAGCATTGTCTGATAACTTCTTAGAAATGCAAATTCCAAGGCCTTATCCTCAGCACCAATGAAACAGAAACTCCAGGGCCAGTAATCCGTTTTAACAAGTCTTCCAGATGGCACTAATTCGTACTGACACCTGTGAACCACTGACACGAAAGGAAGGATATTGCTCTATAAAGGAGGGAGGGACGGGGACGCTGGAGAGATGGCTCAGCAGTTAAGAGCATTGGCTGTTCTTCCAAAGGACCTCAGTTCAGTTCCCAGCACCCATATGGCAGCTCACAACTGTTGGTAACTCCAGTTACCAACACACAAAACATGAGCAAAATGTCGGGAGCGGTGGCATGTCTGTAATCCAAACAATTGGGAGGTATAGATAAGATGATACCAAAGACTCACCAGCCAGTCAGCTTAGCCTAATCATCGAGCTCCAGAGTTAGTAACTGAAGATCAATTGAGCAACATGCCTGATATCAACCTTTGGTGTCCACATGCATGTGTACACAAACACACATGTACCTGTACATACATGTTGTACACAAACATGATGCACACACACATAAAAAGTGTAACAATATGTATCATGTTGGGGAATATTATTTTAAGGTGTGTGACTTTTGTTTATGCTGCATTTGCTTATCTCTTCGAAGCTGTATTACTGTGCCTGTCTAAAACACCTGATGGCCCTAATAAAGAGCTGAATGGCCAACAGCGAGACAGGAGCAAAGAGAGGCAGGGCTGGCAGGCAGAGAGTATAAACAGAAGGAAAACCAAGAAAGAAGAGAGCAGGAAGAGAATAAGGAGAGAAGGACGTTCAGGGACCAGCCACCTAGCCAGCCATGGAGTAAGAAGGAAAGTAAAAGTCCAGAGGGCAAAAGTAGACAGGCTAATTTAAGATAAGAAAAGCTGACTAGAAACAACCCAAGCTAGAGCCAGGCATACCTAACTAAGAATAAGCCTCAAGGTATGATTTATTTGGGAGCTGGGTGGTGCCTCCCCCCCCCAAAAAAAACCTCCAAAAGAGTAAAACATTACAGCAAAAAATATTGTTTCCAAACTTGAATTTGTTGTTCTAAAAGATGCTTGTCTATCTAGTCATGGTTATTTGTTGTCTTTGGCCTTTGCTGATCTGCTAGCTTTCTGATCCAAGTCAGGATTGCCTCAGGGTTGACATTGTAATGTCCAACAGAACTGTCCCACTCCAAACTGGATTCTTTGTCCTCTGTGAGATGCTAAGCACTCCATGTAGACCTGAGTTTCCTCATGAGTTCTGGAGGTGGGGGCATTTTTTTCATTTCCATGTCTCTAAATTCTTTTCATTTCCATGACTCATTCCTTTGAAGGTCAGGCTAGCTGGGTCTACAGGCACCACTGCTATCTACATTTGCATCCTGGCTTGCCAACTCCGCTGTCATCAAAAGCCCGTATCTTCACTAATGCTCCATTTCCTAGTGCATAGAATCGTGACCATATTTCCTTTGGGGCTTAGTGTGGATTAAAGGAAACTATGTATAAAATATGTTTGGCTTAGTGGGCTTGTAACTGGTGGTAACTGCTATCATTACTGTTCTACACAGCATGTCCTTCAGGGCTATTCTTGCAGTTATTTTTTCCACTCGTGTCTGGGAGCCTTACAACTGTTCCTCTCCAAGTCCCCTGTTCTCTGCTCTGCTTGTTTTTTCTGATACCCATCAATAGTCAGGTGCTACTCTTTGCTGAAGTTCCAAACGTTCACCCATCACTCCCTGATCAAACATAATGCAGGTTTTCACAACCAAGCCCAGTAAGACAAGCCTCTGCAAGTTTCCACTTCTTTGGCTGTAAAACAGGGCTCACAGCATCAGCACCAGCTAATGAGTGGATTACATGAAATAATTCAGTCAAGTGATTAGCTAGCTTTGTCTGATGTGTGATAAACAACCAAAAAGCATTTGTTCTTGTCACCGCTTCTCAACCATAGAAAACTAATCGTGTGCTTCCTGGCCCCTTCTGACTCAAATACAGACTGGCCCCCAAAGCCTTGGAAGCTCTAGGCAATCTTCAAATGACACCAGCTCCTATAAAAGAGAGGTTGGTTGTGCCCTGGAGGAGGCTGGTGCTCAGTGGAGTGGCCTAGCTCACACTCACAGAGCTCTAAGCCACATAGGAGGCAGCAGACTCAAACCTCAATGGTGAAGACCCAAAACCAATGTGAGAAGAAGCACAATTCAAGAGCCAGATCATATTTAGCTTAAAAGGAAAACTCAGTATGTAAACAGTTGTTGACTTTGTCTCCTTGGGGCTGGTCCACAGCAACAGATGTCTGGTTTTCTAGTATCCCACTGGTAGACTCTGCCCCAGCTGCTGGTAACTACAGGAAGACATGTTTCCTCTCCACAAAATATCTAAAGCAGTAGTGCTCAACCTTCTTAATGCAGTGGCTCTTTAATAACAGTTCCTCATGTTGTGGTGACATCTGTATCAAACCCCTCAAGGCTCAGGAAACATTGT